CAAGGGGCCCAGGCCGCAGAATGCTAACACCCAGATCACCCCGGCCTGCCAGTATAGGCAGAGCGCCGGCTCACGGGACCATCAATGCACAAGAGTCACCCTTTTTGCCACCGAGAAGGCCGGAACAAGGGCAAACTCCAGTATCAGAAAACCCACCTTTAGCAACACCATCCGGGCAATCTCACGCCCAACATTATGGGTTTCCCTCCACAGGCACAACACCAATAGAACGACGAGCAGATAATTCTCAGATGCAAGTTCCAGGACGTGTCCAACATAGCGCTAGTCCCAGCATCTCAGCATCTTCACAAACACCGAGCCAGACTTCCCCCGCGTCCGGTTATCCTTATCATCAAAGTGGGCAGAATCCTCAGACAAGTGGGTCTTATTTTCCAGGTTCCAGTTTTGGTTCTTCAGTGCAACAAGGGAGTGGATTACAATTACAAGCACCGCCTGCGGCATCAGAAGGTCCGTACAATGCTTCTCAGATTGGTTCCTCACTCCACTCCACTCCAAGCTCGAGGCAGGCTTCTGCCTCCGAGCCCTACGGTGTCCTGACAATAACCACGGCTCACGGCGTGGCTTATCATGTACCCGTGGACACGCACCAAGCGTCGCGTTTAGCTGACGAGAAGCGTGCGCGCAACGCAGGAGCATCGGCGCGATTCCGACAACGTAGAAAGGAAAAAGAGAAGGAGGCTTCATCCAACATCGAAAAACTCCAATCGCAGACCAGAGACCTTGAACGAAGAGTCAGAGAAGCAGAAGGAGAGAGAGACTTTTATCGCGGAGAACGAGATCGATTCAGGGATATGTTACTTCGAAATCCTGGGACCAGAGATATGGCACTTCACGGGCCACCGAGTCCTCGTTCCATGAGGCCAATGTCTTATCCTGGTCCTCCTCCACCAAGTGCGCAATCCATGAGTTTTCAAGGTCCTGATAACGGCGAAAGGCCACCAAGACGTCGGAGGACTGATGCCCAAGGAGAATTTATGAGCGTACCATATTCGCATTCTCCAGCGTCAACTCTACCACCCGTTCAAAGTGGTTTTCAACCCGCTCATGGACAAGGGTTGCCTAGTCTGCCCCCTCTACGCATCGATAATCTTTCAACTGGTACAGTTACAGGAGCATCGACTCCGTCGTTATCTGCTGGTCCTCCTTCATTTGATTCTTATTCGCGAGGGCCATACGATCGAGCCTGGCCCAAACAGGAAAACGGTGGACGACGATAAATTTTATACTTAATTTTACTATAATACACTTGATGGAAACAACAGCACTTCAAACCTTTGCTAAAAAGTCTTCCAAATTTTACGAAACCGCTTTCCGAATTTAATCAAACATTCTCAAATATACAAATCGATCTCCTCTATCTACAATACTTACTTGATTGTCACCTGTATATTTACGCTATTTCAAACGACACTACTATACATACCAATCGCAAGATTTCTGCAAAAAGAACTGCATACCCTCGGGCGACCGAACCTTCTCATTTTGATATTTGCATCTCTTTATGTTAATTATACCCCCTGGCGGCTAATTATGTTCCTTACCTTCATTTGTTTCTTTTGTAAATGCGAAACATTTCTTTTCTAACGGGAGTGTGGACAACTAGTGGGGATTAGTCAAAGCATCATTTATTTTGTGATACCATTTTCAGTTGGGAATTGGTAGAAGCGGTGTTAATTTCGGAAGTGTTATTTTATTTGTTTGGTCAGTAGGGTGTGGGTATCCCAGAGAAAAGTAGGGAATACGTCTGGTTGGAAGATTACGAAGCATATCAATATATACACTTAATATCACGCTGAAGCGAGGATGGAGGTAAAATTGGGGTCCGAGACATGTAAGAAAGGGGCTTTGGAAGGAAGAGGGTTGTATTTGCAAACCATATTGCTTTTCCGGGGCTGGGAAGGTTGATTTATCATATACAAAAAACATCAGATTGTATGACGATATTGTGTATAACCTCGAGTTTAGCAGACCAGGAGGAGTTAGAGGATCCTTTATTTAACCCTGGAACCACCACGTTCTACATATAATTCAGTACATATAGGTAGATGAAATTATTACTGCCAAAATTAATAACACATATAATTCCCATCTTCGACCTTTTCCATGCTGTGTGGTTGCGTTAAGCTGGCAGGAGGCGTAGTTTACAAATGGATAGGAGAAACAAAGATGCATAGGTCTCACTCGCGAATAGCTCTTTTCCGAGGCACCGAAGAATCCCATATCAAATCCCTTACCTATCACAATTACCATCCTCTCGATATCTGATAATCTATTGAAATTGGATAGAGATGTCTTGAATAGATAAAAATTGCTATTACTATTGAGATGAGGGAGACAATCGTCGGTAATGGTGCGGGGGAGCTACAGCTTCGTGAAGCTTATACATTATAGGAAGGGCCAGCCGAAGAACTCCACTAGAATTTGATTATCATTGGCCTTATCTTTTGATCCCACCAAGCACCATACACCAAGCTGTAACCTTGAGAAACCTGTGAACCAACAATAATCAGAAGCAAAAAAGCCCCGCACTTGCACCACCTACGGTGACTTCAATAGAAGAGCTTTGTATATCCTCTAGTTTTTGAACTTCCCCCTTCAGATGTTCAAAGTTATCCCTCCTCTGCAATCATATCTGCGTAATACAGCATTTCGAAGATTCTCCTCGCAATTATCTAGTGCAGCTTCTCGAGTGAAGACCGAATTCTCTTCCAAGCCCTCTGTCCTTCCATTACGACCTTATCACAGATCTTTCAGCAGTACATTTGCCAAGATGTCTGATCTTACTGTTGAGCTTACTGCCCCCAATGGCAAGAAATACGTTCAGCCAACTGGTCTATTCATTAACAACGAATGGGTCAAGAGTAGCACAGGTCAAAAGATTACTTCTATTAATCCCTCGTATGTCAAATTCCAACTCGGCATATTACGACTCTGCTAACTTCATGATTAGAGATGAATCAGAAATTGCCTCCGTATATGCAGCATCAGCAGAAGATGTCGATACCGCAGTCAAAGCAGCTCGAGCAGCGATGCGTAACCCTGAATGGCGCGATATGTCCCCTACTGATCGCGGTTCCCTCATGATAAAACTATCCACTATCATTGCCGAACATACAGAACTACTTGCAACTATCGAAACTTGGGATAATGGAAAGATCTATAATGACGCCGTTGCGGATGTTAACGAGGTGGAAGCTGTTTTCAAATATTATGGTGGATATGCCGATAAAATACATGGACAAGTGATAGATACCGGTGTTGCAAAATTTGCATATACAATTAAGGAACCAATAGGAGTATGTGGCCAAATTATTCCATGGAACTATCCATTGGGTATGGCTGCATGGAAATTAGGTCCCGCTTTGGCATGTGGTAATGCTGTTGTGATGAAGGCTGCAGAACAAACTCCGTTGAGTATTCTTGTTCTCGCAAACTTAATTAAGGAAGCAGGCTTCCCACCAGGGGTGGTAAATATTTTGAACGGGTATGGCAGAGAAGCGGGAGCTGCAATTGCAACACATCAAGACATTGATAAAGTGGCTTTTACCGGTAGCACTAGCACCGGAAAAGAAATTATGAAGATGGCTGCTGGCACCATGAAAAACATCACTTTGGAGACGGGAGGAAAATCTCCCTTGATGATTTTCGATGATGCAGATCTTGACCAGGCTGTCAAATGGGCGCATTTTGGTACGTTTTTATTCCGAAAGCCACATGTTGTGTCATGCTCTTTTCTCCTGTAGCACAATCCTTCAATTCTCCCATTTGCTAATCCGTCCTAGGTATCATGTCTAACCAAGGTCAAATTTGCACCGCCACCTCTAGAATCCTCGTGCAGGATTCTATCTACGATAAGTTCATTGACGCCTTCAAGAAGCAAGTCAAAGAAGTTTCGGTCGTTGGTGATCCATTCGCCGAAACCACATTCCAAGGTCCACAGGTCACTAAAGCTCAGTACGACCGCGTACTAGGCTACGTTAAAATAGGTAAAGATGAAGGTGCCACATTACTCTCCGGAGGTGAAGCCTTCACAAACGCCCATCCTTCAGGCAAGGGATTCTTCATTACCCCCACTGTCTTCACAGATGTCAAGCCAAGCATGAGAATTTACAGAGAGGAAGTTTTTGGACCATTCTGTGCCATTGCTAGCTTCAAGACAGAAGAAGAAGCAGTGGAAATGGCTAATGACACGACGTATGGTCTTGGCTCGGCGATTTTCACCACTAATCTAGACAGAGCTCATAAGCTTGCCAGGAGAATCGAAGCGGGTATGGTTTGGATCAACAGCAGTCAAGATTCTGACTATAGGATTCCGTTCGGAGGCGTAAAACAGGTATGTCAACCTTCCTGCGATTGTCGAAACGCGTGTATCACTTGCTAACGTACCAAACAAAGAGTGGGATTGGAAGAGAGTTAGGAGAGGCAGGCCTAATTGGTGATTATCCCTCTGTTTCCAATCAATCTCGTCATCTTTTGACGTCGTTCCGATTTGAGTTCGATTTTTTACTGATTTTCTTCACTTATTTTAGCTTATTCACAAGTCAAAGCCGTTCATATCAACTTGGGCACAAGACTATAGGCTCTATAAAAACACATAGGCTATCGGGGTGTTATGTTATGGTAACTGGGGTTATAGCCATCGTTGTCGTCGTCGTCGTCGTCGTCGTCGTCGCGTATATACATGATAAAAAGATACCAATATTTGAAATTCCATTTTTCCACAACACGGAGCTTTCTCTTACAGTCTGTGATGGCTTATTAAAGTTCTATAAATTGTAAAAAGTCATTGGCTCATTCGTTTTCTTCAGATAATTTATATCTCGTTTGTATTTCCTCATATACGAAAATCTCTACAATACGTGGATGTTCGTTGTCCGCTGTATTACATCCTCAAAATACTTCACTTCCATCTTTACTAACAATTTGAGCAAAAGCAATAAGGTTAAATACGCCATTAACATAGAATTTTGAAAACTTGGCTAGCCAGGTCGCGCCTGCTTTGTGGCACGTCTCACGTATCGTGCATGCTTTGAGTATACATACTCCCCATCCTTCAACACATCCTGCTTTCTAAACTCCCTAAAAGCTTCCATTTCGGCGTTCTTACAGACTCCCTCTTGCTCCTTTCTCATGTGAAACTCGTTCCGAGGTTCTCGAGGGACTCCTAGCAGAGTTGCGGCAGCCATCTCTAAAGTTTCCTCATCGTCTGTTGGTGGGTCGAATACCATCTCATGCTTGTAGGAGTGGTATTCTTCGTCGTTTTTTCGCTATGTTTTCTCTTAAGGTGATAAGAGACTAAAGCTAAAATCCAGGAATATCGACATTTCCTTGGGTAAGACACATGATATGCTTGTAAGTCCTTTCAAGATCTTCACCAAGAGAGATCAACTCAGTATTCTTCCCTGCCATTTTGATTCTAATGGACTGATTACTTGGATACGCTTGTACAGGTAGAAAAAATTCCGGTACATAAGAGGGCGGACATGTTTACCGAGAATGGTCGCTTAATGATTCCTTATTTAAATATTCTCTCACCTTTCCGTTCCTTACTCAATTCTTTGATATTCTTACTAGTTCTCCAAATCACCTTTGACCGTCAATTCTTCTTCTTACTTTTCCACGAGACTCTCGATCTTTAATTCTTCTACTTACACCTCCAAACCGCTTCCGATCTATAAAGATGGGTTTTGTGCCACCACCATTCATCACTCATGACCGCGATTTCCGTGCGACGGGAGATTACATCAACAGTTCAGGAGATCAAGACAGCCATCCAGTAGCGTGGAAAGTACCCGAGTTAGTATCAGCACACCGAAAGGTCAAGGTAAGCATCCAATATTGCGTAATTCACTACAGCACTCACTGACATGTTTACTATCAGCCATACATAGTTTACAGGCCTGTTCCAGAGTTTCTCGCTGCAAACCAGCTACTCAAAGTTCCGAACCAGCTGAAGCGATTGAAGGTCAGGGAAGAGTTCTCGTCGGATCTGCCTCCATTGACGATAAACCTTGTCAAGTCAGTGTACCTGCTACAGAGAGCAATCGAGCCTAGGGAATTTTCTCGCATACAACCATCGTATCTCACCAGATATTCTGGTTCAAGCCATGAGCGTACGCACCACCGTCGTGCCGTCAGCGCGTACGTGTCGAATTCAGAGCGGGAAATTCTTGAACGCATGCGAAATGTAACTTCCAGCATGATTGCAGAGGGGATTTACACAGACGAGTTCAGAGAAATTTGTCGGTCGAAAAAACGCTAGGGACGACCTAGAATTGGTCTTTGCGCGATCTGCAACTAACGACCAGCTTCATTACGTGTAGAGCAGGCTTTGGACGGCCGTCGACTTTGGATTTGTGATGGACAACAGTGTTCGTCTAATGCGCAGGAGGAGCAAGCCCGAAATGACGTCCGTCAAATGATAAAATGGGACTTTGGGTTTGCGGCAGCTGATTACTTCAACCTTTGCATTCAGAGAATCGGGATCCAGGTATTTTTTTCCGATGATGAAGACGAAGATAACGAAAGTTTGGACAGCCACACATCGGTGAATGAAGAGCGTGAACGTTGGGAGGATCATGACGCGGTCGATTCTGACCATGAGCAGGCAAGAAGTATATGCAAAGGTGGATGGCGCCAGTTGGTGGCCAACTGGAACATGGCTCCATACTCATACAGCAACTTGAAAGTCATCTCAAAGGATGCAGGGCGCCTTCCAGCGACGGAGATGTTCGACCCTGGCAGAAACAGGGAGCTCTGAGAACAGGGTCTTGCTCGGTCAGAAAAACAATCATAGTGATCATTCAAAAATTCAATTTGTCAGTTTTGCATACCTAGTATTTAAATGATAATTGCGAATTGAGAAAATGTGATCAAAACGCTTTCGAATATCGAAACTTTATTGTTCAAGTAGCATTTGGATAATTGATTAGTAATTGCTCGAAGTATTTGGATTTATGATTAGCGCTTGGTTTGTATATCACATTATAACTACTTATTTGTGAGATACCAGGAAAAGATCGCATTCGCTCCTAATAACATCTTCCGTGAGCTTACCTATATAGTCCCGAATGAGTTGGTTGAGAATTCTCAACGAGCATGCTCGATCGTGGCTGTCATTTGACATACGTCGCATTCACAATGAAATCAATCCTATCGTCGTTGTTCCAGAAAAGCAGTTATTCGCAGGGCATGCTGAGGCAAGTGTGATATATTTTGGTACCAGGAAGCTGTTCGGTCAGAAAATTGCGACCCGCAAGAGATTTCATAGAAAACTTTCCAGTGTAGTTCCCTTGGAGACATTTCTAGGTTGAAAAAACTGAAGTCAGCAATTCGTAATAAGATACCCTCGTGACCATGGAAGTACTCCATGGGATGGGTTATCAAGTCTTTCGGCTCGGTATCTCCCTTTCATTGTAATGACTCTGGGTGTTTTCCGTCCACTTGACCAGGTTCGCGAAAAATGCAAGAAAACCGGTATTTCAAGAATGAAATCAGTGGTCTACGAGCAGCTGCTTCACTCGGATCATAATTCATTAGTTTTCTATAGGATCCTCCTTCCGGAGAGCGCAAACCTGTCTGCGGGTTCTTACTGAGGAACCTCGTCAGGAGAAAGGTATGCCAGCCAAAGTTAGATCATGTGATTGATAGAATGAGTGACGCAATCGTAGACAGCAAGCAATTTTCCACTTTAGTTCAGGATTCAACTGATGCGAAGGACCAAAAGATCTCCAATCATTACCGATCATGTCAACGTTTCTAGGAGTGATATACTCGAACAAAGTTTCTAATAGTCCGAAACACATCACGACAATCAGAGGTCTTCAATTCATTTATCCAGTCAAAACATTCAAATGGTTTGAGATTCTGAATTTCAATTTGTATATCCTATTATTCTCATGCAATGAAAGCTTATATTCAGCCTGCTACGCCTCACTCTTGGTAATCTCACACTCCGGTATGATATGTATTCGTATACAAGATGTCTGACGGAGATAATCTCCACTTCTCGGCAATGATAGTGGTGTTGAGAGTATATACCGAGCACACTGCAATACAGGCACTGCTTGTTAGCTTTGTTCGGTGTAAGCTAGATATAATGTCGATTATGGCAGAACTGCGATGAGAACAGGTGAAACATGCCACATACAGTCGCATTGCTTCTTTTTGTGTTCGCTCAACACGTCGTCATTCATGCATGTTCTACATACCCGGGCGATTGATCTGCAGGTCCTGTTCTCTGTGAAATGAGCCAGCATGGGCGGCTGATGAATTTCTTCCATTCCAATTGACGGCTCATCGATCGGTTCTTCTTCATTCCAATGTGGCAAGATTAACGAGTTCATCTCCACGAATTTCCAACAAATGAGTATGTAACTCGAGGACAGGAGTTTCAACGGCGTGTGTTTTCAACAGGAAATTATGGCAAGCATAGACATGCGGTCTGATACTAGCAGGTGGATCATTGGGAAATTATTTGCCTATCCTAAGAAATCACGAGAACTCTCATTTTCAGGCTTTCTTATATAGAGAAATGAATAGTGTGAGGTATCGTGGCGTATAAAATTTGTTGTATTGGCCATCTTTGGAGTTGCAACTTGCAGAACTTGCGCAAAATGAAGTGTTTCCCATCTAGTGACTTCTGGAGGATTCCAAGTCATTCGGAGGACTGAAACCTCGCCAACAACCAATCCGTTGGACGACGCCATTGTTCTCCTCATCTGAACCCAATTCGTTGTTATGGACCCAAACAACCGGGCTGGTATCGTCAGCATTGCTAACGATTATCATCGCTGCGGCGGGCGCGGAGTTTCCATCTGCAGAAGGATGTTGTGATGCCATAGCTCCCAAACCCACGCCAAAGGTTAGTGTCAGGCCCCCTGTGTACTACTTCTGTTAACACTCTTTAGACACTAACCTTTGGCGTGGTATTTTTTCGAAACCAGGATCTCCAGAGCGGCAATCGTGTGATAAACTGACCAGTTGTTCCATGACGGCATCAATTGACGTTGGGTCGCACCATCTGGTCAGCCAACTGGTGCAAAGAATGATGTAAGCGTCTCAGTGATCTAAATTCCATAATCGGGAGTCGGAAGTCGCAATTTCCAGTCCGGCCTTGTTCTGCATATGATATTCTCGTTTATTTCGTGGAAAGTAACTCGGGGATTCCATGAGCCTTGATTGCACCAAGTCTGCTATGCAATTCATCGGTACCATGTTGCATGAAAAGCGAAAGTGATATGGCCAATATATCTCTGCCACATTGTAGATCGGCGCCATCGGTATGTCTTGGAACGAAGCCCACCTACATCAAAATAAATCATTAAGTCTTCAAACTGCGGAGAATGATGTGAATCCAATTGAGCGGAGGTCAATCATACCAATCAGACTCCCAATTACTTTCATACACAAGGGATGACGTTGGAACTTCTTTTCACAACGATCGCTTGACAGGCAGATCTTTCTCGAACATAGTCTTCAAGATACCTTAAGTGGGACTTTCCGCGGGCCTGCAAAGCCCCCTCTAGATACTTCGTGGCAGACTAAAATTTGAAAGTGAATTAGGTCTTGTGCCTAGGCTTCTATTTGGTGTATCTGGCTGGATGCGATTATTTCGGAAGCTTAAGGCGATCTCTTTTATGCTTATTGCTACAACTCCACTCAACCATCATCTTTGAAAAGACTAAATATCTGAAACATAATTAGTATTTCAGAGGATCGGAAAGCTCCAATCGAACTCAGGAATGCAGGATCACTGATTGTCCAACTGCAGTTGAGACTTTAGAACTCCTACTTCAGAGTGACCGAAATAAATTAGCATCTTTTAGGCCTTGGTTGTACCGAAACAGATCATCCAGCACAGCAAAAGAAGCGCACTCTTTGCTCTCGTTATTCTTGCTTAATTTCGTCCCGGAATTGGTGGCCTTTGAGTCTGAGACCTCAAACACTAGCAGTACCTGAATGTCCTAAGCTTGTCGAGCTGGTGACAGTCTGCGGTAGCAATATTCAGTTTATGATCTTTCTCTTGAACTTGCTTCACAGTTCCCTCTTTACCTGCGGGAGCAGCGCATCTTATGTGCCTGGTCCTGGCTCCTATCATCACACATATGTAGCTGACGATCTTGCAGTAAACTGTGCCACTGGTCTGTTCAGGAACTTCGTCAATTATTTGGGTAATTCTCTCAATATGTGCCCTCTGCCACTCACTCACTAATTGATCGACACAGTCAGTATCTTCTTTCTTGCCCCTCTTGAAGAACCCTAATGGGCCCACCTTTCGTGATCAACACCTAATATAAAGACAAACCGAACCAGAAGGATGATCTGTAAGTAATCGCCATATTTTCCTACATAATTTTAAATGTTCATTCGGCTGTAGGAGAAGTTTGGAGGTTGTTGCGGGGTTTTATGTCGAATTGTCTGCAGCAGCCATTAGCCTGATCATCGTCAAAATGCCGGCGTTTTTTCTTCCTTGCAAGGGACTTGGATAAATTTCTCTCCGAGATTTTGCGTATCGTATGGAAATTACACCTGTCAGACGCTAGCTTTGTGACTTACAGGAGGGGACTCCTTAATATTGCAGTGAGCCATGCTTCAGTATAGAAACTGGGGTCGTGGGTATGAATTCCAAATATTCGTATTCGTATAATCTAAATAATCTATGGGTGCCAAGCCTCTTTCTAGACCATCTCTCTAGACCGCCCTGGTCACTTCTCCTTAATGAGGGTAGTCATTGTGTACAGAATCAAACAATTTGGTATCGAAGTGTTGAGTCTCCCAGCTGAAAGGAAGACTGGATCGAAGACTGGTATGAAGTTGTGAGGATTCGTATTCCAATAATCAGTTTCTGTTCTATTGAGCTCAGTCAATTCTCTCAATTGGGCCGATATGCCGTTACCATACTGCCATGTAAACGGCTACCAATAGGTTTTGTAAAACTTGATAATATATCAAGCTGGAATGGACTGGGTCGTCATCTTCGTCTGAACTGCTCAATTCATGTGTGGGGGAATCGTCGAATTTAATACCGCTTGGATGGTGTCAATGAAAGTATTGATTACCTCACTCTAGCTGCGGATAACGAGTCTATCCTATGCTAGATTATGGATTGTGACCTCCAATCTCGGTGGTGATAGGTATTCTGAGATATAGCTGTCGCGGTTGGCTTGTCTGGGCAATCCAACGGAAGCGTTCTGCGGGGCATGGTTTTGATGGTTTCTACAGTTTTCTTCCCAAGGTGCAATGTCGCGATCAAGTACTTCATCTCTTAGTGGCGTTTAGGAAAATTGAACAGGGTAGGAACGAAGCACCCCTTTGCAGTTTTCTTGAAGACTGCAAGGAAGGAGCAATGATACTCGCATTACCCATGAAAAGCAAGAATATTTGAAGGAAAATAAAGAAGGCCACTGAGCTTGTACCGGCATCTACCTATGTAGAGCCTTGCTAAGAAATTAACACGTCATGTTCTTTCCACGTACTAAAAATATTGACAACAAGTTGATTGTAAACACGGAGTGAGGGTATTGATTATTGATGTGCAAGCTATATCAGAAAGCTTCCTTGCAATTGCAGAAATGACTGCCTTTCAGAACATTGGGTTACGTTTGATGATTTGAATTTGATTTGAGTTTTGGCTTGTCCATAAACTTCTGGCTGGCCTCGCTTCCATAGATTGAGAGGGATCAGAGTTCATGCGGCATGCAAACTCTCAAGTCGCTTCAATGCTTTAGTATCCTGCCGGTGCCATAGTAATCTGGCATCGATAAATATCTGCATCTCAGGGTTATAAGGTTTGGCTAAAATGCTGATCACTCTACTGACGCTGAAAATATCCACGCGTGGTGTATCTTCTTCGGACGGAAGAATTGTGGAAATCTTTAGAGAAATGAACGCCTGTTCCAGATCCCTCCATTTGTTGGTTTCCGGAGACTAGACCTCCAAAACACATACATCCGTAAACCGAGGCTTCGGTACCTTGGTGAAGGCGTTGAATACATAAAAACAGTAGATGATCTGCATTAATTAACTTTAAGCTGCCAACAAAGATTGTCGATATTACTTGTGGATCATCCTGCATGTCAAGCGCTGTGGCAAGGCATAATAGGGAACTAGATCCGAACATATACAATGTAGGGATCGTCAATCGCCCACCAAAGCTGAGAATATGGAACATGGAGTAGATTATCGACTTGATATTCATACCTCCAAAGATTCAAGCATGAACCTGAACGCCTTCAACTTGTATGCACGGTCTCGTTCCGAGATATGTCTCGGCATGCAATGATAACGCCAAGAGCGGACCCGCTAAGGATAATTCCTCTCTCCTTCATTTATGTCACAGCTCCATCCGCCCACTTCGCATCTATCCATCAATCACATTACTCCCGAATAACATTACCGTGCCGTCCCGTCTACCACCTTGATCTCGACCTCCCACTAAGCAACGCTTAGACTTGCTTAATTTCACTTCCACTGCCTCAATCACTTGATTCCACTAATCCGCAGATAATTCCTCCATACTCCACCCCTTCCCGATTCTCTCTTACTTGGCACTTGACGGGATCCAGTTCAACTACCGAGACTCGAGCGAGAGAAAGCACAATTTTATGTTTAAGTTTAAGCCAAGCTTTTTCTCGTATATGCGAGAAAATGCTTGGTTTATCTGCAACTGAGGCATTTCGACAATTCTATATCGCATCACGAAAGATAATCCCACTTTCGGAGTTAAAGTATCGTTTACTTAGTATCTTTGCTTTCCATAATTTATTTTCGGGACCGGTGTGATTGGAGATGAACGGTGCATATGCAGATCAATGTAAAAGAGGAGGACTTTTGGGCCTTATGCTTTTGTTGTATATTAATCTGTGCGTTTAAGCAAGTGACTGCACATGTGTCTATATGTGAAGACATGACGTGACGTCGAAGTCCATTCGAATTGTCAAGTGACAAATTGATGTATGAAGGAAAGCCTGTTGTAGTAGAGATCAAGAATGCGTACAATTTGTGTACGGACTGAGGAGGGTACCCGGGGGAAATGCATTCACTAATCCACGCAGTGTAATCAACGCACACAATATCAAACATTGCTCATATTGTCTATAAAGTTTCTTTCCTATGACATAATTCGTAACTCATAAGATAAAGGGCGCAGGCATAACATGATTGAGTAGACATCCTTCATTTTCCGCATCCGTGACGCCCACCTGCTCCAACATTTTTTTTTTTTCGTATCCATACCAGCCCGCGACCAATATCCATTATTCCTGCCGACCACCCGCTCGATGCACCAGAAGCCCCCCAGTAAATAAAATCAACAACTAAAACACAATCGCTTTCCAGATTGGAACAGAGCATTGTGGCTATAGTAAACATGAAAAGAAAAAAGGCCTGGTGTGGCACGATGGACTTGAAAGACATGACAAATATGACATGAGCAACAATGGATATCATCGTAATAACAGAAAGCAAGTAGTCGTCAAGTCGTCATAAACAAATACCCCAACCATGTAGACAACTCAAACCATAATCCATTCACCCTCAGTGCCCTCCATATGCTTGCTCCATTTGAAAGGTCCGCCTTGACCTCTCATTGAGTCTGGAGATGCTCTGCCATCTTTGCCTTCTGCCCATAGCTTTTCCAGAACTTCCAATCCCGCCAAGTTATTAAGATATCCAGATCTCCCCATAATCTCTCTGCATTTGCTTCTCACAATACTCTGTTGCAATTCATTGACACACTCACTCCCGCTTATAAAAAGAGGCCACAACAAGAACTTCTCACATCCACTGTTGGTCTCCAAACTTGTTACATAAAACAAGACTTGGCTGACCAAATTCTGGAAGTTGAGATGCGAGCTTGGAGTCTTGGGACATGCAAGACGTTCGGTGTACAAGAGAGCTGAGTATCGGAACGCCTCAGAAATATATCCGAAGTCGCGAAGCTGAGTGGGGGTTGGAGTGACTGGAAGAGAAGAGACAATGTGAGAAGGAGAGAACTCCCATTCTTGAAGTGCTAGGCGAGCGGCTTTCCATTCGGTCCAGAATGTCGTGTGTGGGTCGTCACTGGACATGAAGGATGGGACAGATGTTGTTGGAGAGCATGAGGTGGGCGAGAGAGGTGTGAGACTTTGCATAGGAAAAGTGGGTTCATCATCAAGAGACATCGTTGAAGCGAAACCATTGCCGTCGAATGAAAGAGAATGAAGATTATAAAAATCAACAAGTGCTTGACCAGCTAGACGAGGTCTGTGAAGTCCATTGGTATGATGAATATGATTTGGATGAGGAGGGTGGGTCAGGGCATCGTTCATGACTGGTCGATGTTGCGACAATAAATTAAGGCGTCCCAACTTGGCGATTGTTTTAAAAAGGACAGCGTCGCATCCCGCCATGTTTTCCAGCCCGTGATTGGGATTAGACGGGCTAGCTAGCATTTCAAGGTATCCACCTCGAAGCTGAGCTTCACGATCGTTGATTGAAGCGGCAATGCCGTCAAAATAAGTGAAGAGAGATTCCATCCATCCCCAATTACCGGTCTCGGTTCCGCATTCTCGCATCCCGAGAATCTTCTTCACTCCGGCGAATTGAGTACGGAATTGAGCAATACCAGATTCGCACATTCGGTAATGACAGAGGATGAAGAGTGTCGCGAGCACACAATCGTGACGGGCTTTGGAAGGATCGGTCAATTGTTGATTAAGGAGGGAAACAGCTAGAGAGCGATGTTGATACTCTTCTTGGAGCGATGAGTCGGTGCTCAAAGAATCGGTTAATGTTGATTGAGTGGAGGTTCTTCTAGTGCAAACCGGTCTACCAATAGACCCCGCATTAATACGATCTTGAAGTTCGAGTTCAATCGGTTGGCGCCAATGATCTTGACCTAATGATTGTTTTCGTTTCATGCGTAAGTTGCAAGCAGCAAGCGCACAAATGGCATGTTGAAGACTTTGACTTGAGGATGCTAGAGCGAGAATGTGTTCGCGATATGGATTTGAGGGGCTATCGATGACCACTACCGACGGGCAGATGATTTTCTCGTAGTAATCTAGAAAGAATGAGATTCGAGGTGACATTTCGGATGTAAGTGAAGATGACATAGAATCATGCCCAGTAATATGACCATAAGTATCTGTCTCCGACGAAGGGGAACCAACATCGTCTTCATTTATAGAAGTCCAACCAAAATGACTGGACCTAGCGCTTGTAGCAAATACTTCAGGCTCGTGAGAGCTTTGGATGCCTAGTGAACAATGGTTAGCAAACGGGGTCTCAATAAACGCGTCGAATGAAATTATTCACCTAACATTTCATCATCATAGAAGATTTCATGTACTGAAGAAGACGTTTGATGAGATCTTTGAGGTTGGCGTCCTTCTGACAGGTCATACATATTTTGATGGGAACTCATGCTCGAGCTCATTTCTGATGGAGCGTAGAATTGATCCGGACATGATGTAGGCCCACGTGAGTTTCCCATAATATCCGAACTTTGATCTGTTACCGAGGTATTTCTGGAAGAATAGCTGTTGTACAACGGTGCGGGGCTGTTGAGGAAGGGAACCTCGTCATTTTGAAAAGACTGACTGATTGGTGATGTATACTCGCTGTCAGGATATGGACTCAGAGAATCCACGGAACTCGAAAGTCCTTCTGGTCTTCCAATACTAAGCGTATGTATCCGATGAAGTTGCGGGGGTAAAGATCTTTGCATATGCCGTTGTTGTGTATCAGGATGGTACTTTGGAATTGTGAATTCGTGAGATGGTGCGGTAATATTCCAATCTGACATTTGGGTAGCTGTTGAAGCATTTCCATGAGGTGCCATGTTGACAAAATCATATGTCATAAATGGGCTGACAGGTACAGAAGCTGCATTTTCTAACTTGATTCGAACACCCTCTTCATTTTTTTCCAAAGTTCTCGCAATGGTAGAAGCAGCTCGAGGACGAGTAATGGGTGGACTTTTTGGAGCAGGAGGGGATTTTGCAACGGGTAAGGATAAACCTCGCAGTTTTCCTCGACTTGCCACTCCCACACCCCAAGTCAATTGAGTTTTGTAACCTGAGCACTCATTTCCCACTTCCAGGCATTGCGAGCAATATGGTCTTCTTCGATCGCATTTAACGTTGCGTTTGGTACAAGCGAAACAATCGTCCGATGCACCGCTGGCTGGAGCTCTCCTGCGTCGCTTGCGTTGAGCGACAGTAGGCGGATCCGACGAGGCAGAGGAAGGAGGGCAGGCTACAGGGAGAGTCATTTTTGATGGTAATTATGAGGTAAAAACTTGAAGATTTGATTGAAAAGAGAAATGCAAGTCCATTGAAATATAATGTAGCCAAGTGAACCAAAGAAGCATGTGGAGAATAGCCGTTGGCTGAAGCTTGGGGTTGCAATATTTGGAGAAATACATGATGGGCATGTCAATGAGTTATGAGGAGCAAACCGAGCTAGACGATGAATAACCCCTAGACAGTAGGTCCGCCCCGGCGCACATTCAAGTTACGGGTGGGGATCAGCACTGCGGTTTTGCAAGGGGGGAAAGGGAAATGTAAAAAGATTGTGATGTAGGGTAGAGTGGACAGGGTATTGAAGTTGGAGTAGCGCGGTTTTTCTAGGAACCGAGGACCATTTTCAACTACCACCTCCGAGTGGTTCAATCTATAATTCGACTAATCAGAAATTATTCACTGTTTGCAGAGGAAGCACAACGCAGCCTTCCATGCAGGAATCTTTGCTTCTTTCAATTACTTTACATGTAGTCAATAGCGACATCAACGATATTCTTAGTTAATTGTGCTCGTGAAACCTTGGCTCAAGATAGAAGATTGGAGGAATTTTGGATTGGCTTTTGGATTGGTTCTTGGTCTGAATGCTTAATTTTAGGATTCTGGTTCAAGTTGGCCCACTTTGATATACCTGATTTTCGTGAAGAGACATAAGATCGAGAGCTTTATATGAATAAGCTTAATATGTCTCCATCCACAATCAATCCACTGAAGCATGTCCGTTCATTTTCTGTGCCGTGGAGGTTGATCTGAAAGCCGGGGTGATATTTCGCCATTGCGGAAGCTATCTCAAGAAGTGCCAGCAGACCCCATACAACAACCGGGTTTTAAATTATGATTAGTTTTAACAGGCTCTATATATTTTGGTTCGTCATGAAATCCCATGTCCCATTCTACTAGCATCATTTCCCGTCGTAGTTATTGGACGAGAGGAGTTTCAAAATGATAGGTACAGATATGGCTTAAAACAGATTGTAGGAATTTCGGAGATGAGAAGTAACAGGTAACTGTCGACAAGCCACTGGCGTCAAGTAACCACTAAAATACAGTATCGGTGGGGAGGCAGACGGTGATTCTATCTCTCCCCTGATTGTTCGGTACTGCCGTGCACATGCCTGAATTAGTAGCCCGGCCGTTGATAATGTTTAGCTCGCTTTAGCCCTGTTTTACTTGTGCAAAACATCAAGAAAGCGTTCATATCCCGTGTTGCAGTACTAAAGTTGCATTATGACGAGATTGTTGATGTGACAATGCAAGGCATATTTAGGACTTTCACCCAGGACATTGAAATGATGAAGGGCGATGGAAAGGAAATTGCTGTAATTCGAGCCTTTGATCCCAATCTGACACAATGTGCGATCAAGGCACAAAGCGTCTGATTACAACCGATAAGATTGCTAATAGATAAGAAGCACTATACTATTTGCATTTGAATGCAGGAGAGGGTAGTACTGACCGTACTTAATGAGGGGTATTGTATATATTTTCATGTCTGAGCTGTCCATGAAGAACTAACTTCATCATGGGTCTTAATGAGGTTGGGTAGCAAACTAGTATGCGATTGGTCACTTACCTGCAGAGCTCAAGCTCGTTTATTTTCTGCAGCTAAGAAAGCGCGAAAGACGCAAAACTGTAAGAAATGAGAGAATAGCTGAGGTGCGGATAGGACTTATTCGAGTCTCGAAGAAATAAATCTACTTCATCCTTCTGTATGGCAGTTGGATATTTCTTTCATCATATTTTTCGATTGGATCAAGCAAGAAACACCCACAAAATGATATCAAGTCTTCCGAGCCACTCATATCAATCATACTCCATATTGTATGCATCTGGCCGTCGACTAGCCTCCATTATGGGCCATTTTGCACTAGGATCCCCCTCATGATCTTCATTCCGCTTTCACAAACCTCTGGATGAATGCTAAGGGTTGGATGATAAGAATAGTAATGATTCTGACAAACAGAATCATTGTTATTACATACACTGTGATACGCATGACCATTGATTAAGGGTCCAATCTAGACAATTGCAGATCTGTCGAATCTATACGGCTGGACCTCAAACCAAAGTAAAATCCTTGATGATCATCAACCAAATTCACAAGAGGGGTGTAGTATTTCCATTTGATTCCGATATCTGTTGCTGCAAGGCAAGTTAGACAATCGCTGCATGAAATAAAATGAATCTTTGGTGGCTCCCCCAAAGGTCGATTCGGCAAATCACAAACCGAGGACCACAATCAAGCCAATCAATCCTTGTAAAGCCTGTCTTCAACCAGATTTGATGGCACTACCCTGAAGTGGATGCGAGCTAGAAGCTTTCGAAGACGCATAGAAGGAATTCGCGCTACGATGGAACTCCCAGAAGAACGATACAAAGCAATATTATATCACAAGCATATAACCTTAACATACAGCTCTCTTCCAGCGCTCTCCCAATCGGTTCACCTATGTGCTTTAGCAAATCCGTGCCTACATGATATCTTTATTCCTTCCAATTGCAGGCTTTAGATGCCTCGGTGTGGCTTCTCAACCCCGGTGGAGGTGGATCAGGGGGATAGATAGATCCCTGTTAATCCCTCAGAGGTTACAACTTTACCGGTCGTTTCCTTCATCTTCATCGCGAGTCAGTATCTCATCAAAAGCAGGGCGATATCCAACTACTTTTCCTCATTTTTCAGACCAGACTGGTCCGGATGTATGTGCAATCTCATTATTTACGAGGATTTGCTAGCATCGTGCTGTCTCAGGTACAGGTCAAAAAGTTCAATGATACATTCCAGCGATCAGCCGAAGTAACGAACTAATTTTTCTCACAGTCAAATTTAGTTCACAAGCATATGTGTTTTTTAGAAATATCAGCAAGGTTAGTTGTTTAAACTTTAAGAATTATGGTGGCTCAGTGGTTCAGCACAATAGTGACAGTTAACATTAATGGAGTACATATGGGTAAGGAAGCTAACGAAACAACAAGGGAACCATGATAATAGGCGATTAACAATAGAATTTAAGACCTAGTTGTGAGAAAGTCAATTCGAACTTTCAAGGTCTGTCAAATCTTGGGTTATTTGGTGTCCTATCTAGTACGCAGCAATGTTATCAAGATTGGGTAATATCTCCGATACGCCATCGTTCGTGATGTCTCAGATATGCCAAGTTAACCTACCTTTTTTACCCGCACCACAAGGTGGACCTGCCCACCATCTCAATTCCTCAGTAAATTGACGGACTTGGCCTAAAGTTGCTCTACCGACATCAGTGAATGCTTAATGATGCGAATCATATGATACAACAGCCTTCTTTATGATTTTTTGCGCGGCTATTTGAAGAAGGTATAGATGCAGTCTGCAAGGGATCAAGAAGAATTTACGGGAACAGAATCCTATCACTGCCTCTCATCGCGCTGTCCGTCGCCGAACTTCGCCGCCTACTCCGAAATCCTTTCGCACTTAATATTTTTCTGCTGATTGGTCTATATTTCTTTACTGCTCAAGTCACTTGTCAAGCGAGAAATCTACAGACTGTGATGGAACGTTACACCAGCTGCGTTGGGATTGGCTGTTGATCCTTTTAGGACTTCGCCTCTTCATCCTCCTCCACTGACAAATCAATATTCAAAGGCAAAGGCTGAAATGAAGAGAATAGCAAAGTTGAGGTAGATCGTGAAGAGAGTAAGACAACTTTGTGGGGGTACGAAGTGCACAGCATTTTGCCCATGCTCCGTGTAGCAAAGCAAAATAGATTTCTTCAGCATGCATACCTAATCGTCCTCGATTTCGGACATTACCATCGGTATAGAAAGAGTGGCAGTTGTCAAATATCCGATGAATTTATCCCATGAACAACCAACCAAGTCCATTTATGTCCCTGAACTTTACATTCGTACCATGCTGAATGGTATAATCGTGACGGAGATGAAGCCCGGAGAAAATACCATTCTCGTTTAGACAGGTGTACCTCCATAGATTAGCATTGGATCACTATTTGTTTGACAACAATACTTTAGATAAGTATCTGGTACCTAAGTCGTGGGGATTGGGGGGGTGGGGGGTTGTTCCGTGTTAATTTTTAACATCTCCGTAGACATCATTGGATATGCGGAAGCAATATACATTTGTACTGTTCTAGTTCAATCAGCTAGACAGGCACAACTGTAGCTATGTAAGGCCCACTTGGGATGAAGACATTCACATATGTGATGAGAGTTGCTTAATCGCAATGCAAGTATATATTAACACACTGCTTAAGTCTCTCTCTTCCAATATTAGATCGAGATGATGAAGATATACATGATACGACTAAAAAAAAGGTTGTTCGCGGCCGAGGTCGATTCTATAAAAGGAAGAGAGTCACGCGACTGAATCACGGGATCTGAGTTGTCAAAATGGATCACATGAATCATGTGATGATAAGCCCGGCTGATAAGGCTAGCTTCGAATTTTTCAAATTCAATGTGAAGATTTTCGAAGTTAGAGTTTGAGAGGTGACAATACATTATCAAAACAATTTTATTCCACCACCTCATATATCATCTGCAATCATAGAAAATGGGTCGCGAACTCCAAAAGAAGAAGAATAGATCTGGAAATAATAAGATCAAGCACAAGCCAAAGTCTAAGCGTATCAATCCTCTAGGCAATGCAATCGTCGCTGCAAACTGGTCAGTTTGCTACACAGCTTTGTATGTTTTCAATTAATCCTAATCAATTATCACAGGAGACAAGATGAAACTCTTACACAAAACTACCGCCGCCTTGGCTTAACTAGTCGTCTCAATACCGTTACCGGTGGTATCGAAAAGAAGACTGCAGGGTCCGAATCAAAAACCTCCACTGCAAACAAGCTCGCCATCTCAAATGCAATTCCAAAGAACTTCGCACCAACTGAAGCTCGAGTCGAGAGAGATCCAGAGACTGGAAAGATTATCAGGGTCATTCACGACGAGAGGAAATCAAATCCATTGAACGATATTCTGAACTCGGATGACGAGGATGGAGAAGGGTTCGAAGGTTTCGGTGATGAGGAGGGTTCCGCGTCAAAAAACGAGATTGTAAAGATGTTGGAGGAACAAGCTTCAAGAGCAGGCGAGAAGAGGGAGAGACAACAGAGTGAGAGGGAGAAAGAATGGATTGAGAAGTTGGTTAAGAGATGGGGTGAGAACTTCGGAGCTATGGTTAGGGATAGAAGGTTGAATCCCATGCAACAAACGGAATCGGACATCAGAAGACGAGTACAAAAGTGGAAGGATGCTGGCGGTGTTGTTACTACCGAAGCATGAGGCTCTCTGGATGTTCGATGATGCATATCAGAATGGTGTCTGGCGTTTTGTGGGGGCTTTAACTACGAAGAGGGTTAATAAAAGTCATATCAGATTCAAAGGGCTAGTTCTCTTGGAGTCAAGAACAGCGCAAATTTTTTATCCATTACATTTCCCAAATTTGTGATATTTTCCATAAAGCATAATGTACGACCGTTTGATTGTCAACCCTAATTGGGAAACGCAGCTTTCCATTGCCGCAGAAGAGGCTTCTGGGCGCCAATAGCCAAGAAGCTAAGATCACAAGTACGCCAAGTATATTCACAACATCAAAGAATTCAAGCATTTCAGAATATTAAAAACATTATTTCTCGACAGCGTAATCCTGCGCTTGTATAGGGAGTACTTTATATCCGAAACTGGATGATGTCCGTTTCCAAAACTTCCTTCTGCATAACTCCAACATTCCAAATGCAAATCCCGCAAGTGCTATTACTTCTAATGCAAATCTTGATGGTATTAATGGCTTTGCAGCCTCCTCTTCTTCCTCCATTATTTCTTCTGTCTCGGGTAGATCGATCTGTTGAATCGTTAGTTGGGTCATCTCAATGAGTCGATGGGGTTCAGTGAGAGAATTACATACCGTATCCTTACAGTCTGTTCCAGTAGCCCAAATATCACTAGTCTCCAGTTTTACACCCTCGCCATCAATAGCGATAACTCTCACCCAACACCAAGATTTTCTCTGGAATAAAATTCTAGTCTCAAACCCGCTCTTCTGAACTTCAGCTACCTTCTGAAATTCCTCCTCGCCTCCTTCTCCCCTGCCAGTCTTCGCTCCCTTCAGAACCCATCCTCTAACCTTCGTAGCCCCATTCCAACTAAGATACACATTGTTCTGCACCACCTTCACATCCGGCACTGTATCGGGCCGGCCAACCCACGCATGTTTCAACACCTTATATGTTTGTACCGCTCCTGTGGTGAAGGTCTTTTGAGATCCAATACGAACATCACAGAGAACTTCTCCTTCAGAACTATACTCAGTCCAAGCAGCATTGTACCCATATCCAACCATTACATTTCGATTCTCGAGTACCTGCATACTGCCTTGGCTAGCACTTAAGATTGTTCTCGGATTCACATACTCGCGTACGATTTCCGCAGTCATGGCTTCGAGATCGAGGGATATATGAATAGCACGGGAGCTCTCAACTTGCGGTCTCAATCCATAATGCGCCCCGTTGTCGAATAAGGTGATTCCCTTACGATCCGTAGTCCAACGAGCATCATGTTGCCAGCTAAACGCTGTAGCTTTCCCATTCGACAAATCCTTGAAACTATTTCTTTTTCCTCCGAGCTCCCAAAGAATCTTACCCGTCTTTCCATCAATATAGGATACTGATTGATAATATCTCGAACTAATCAGGTAATTTCCCAATCCATCTTTGTCGATACTGTTGATGTGAAAGAAATCGTACCCATGACTACTTCTCAGTCCAGCACTTCCAGCTGGAAAATAAGAGTCTTCGGTGTTGAAATGCTCGGATGCGTGCCATTCGAATATAATCTCGTTGGTTTCTATGTTTATTTCTTGAATTATGGAATCCCAAACCTAGCCTTTACGGGTGCGACGACGATATCGGATGTCCATTTCTTTGAGAATGTATTGGGTTACTAGAGCCGTTCCTTCAGGTGTTATGTGAAATTCGTGGAGGCCTCCTAGGGCGTTGTTGCCAGCTGTTAGACGGTAAGCTTCTTTGTATTGGGAATCTAGCTGGATGAGAGAGTTAGTGTAGATCACATGTCTACATATCCGAGAAAAATACCAAGATGTAAACTCCCTCCCCATGTCCCCCCACCGAATCATCACCCTGCCAAAACGTCAAAAAATCCACGCCTTTGTATCTCTGTACATTTAGCCCAAATGTCTCCCCATAAGATGTATTCATCCGAACGAGATTTCCTTGGTGATCATGGATCATAGGACTTTGTCCCGTGATATGCACTTCATCGCCTCTGAGAGATATCATCGTATATAATCCATCGTCACATCTCGGATCATCTTGGAGGATATTCAGACGAGGAGAGATCAAGTCTGGACGTGTTGTATAGGTGCGATTTGGATAGGCACCATAATCTCCGGCGTCAAATTCTGTAGATTGAATATATGGGAAAGTTTCTGGAGTTGCGTTGATGAGACGCCCAAGGAGGATGGGGATGAGGTGTATGAATTGTGTTCCCCGCATTGCGTGATTTGGGAGTTTGATGATGGAAAGAGGGGTATCGAATATGAAATGCTTTAACAGAAGGGTATCAAAAGGTGCTGCGTACTTAAAACAAAAGATGATTTTCAGGGGAAAAGGGGATGAAAATCACAAAGACGAAATGAAAAATTTGAGACAGGAAACGACGCAAATACAATAAACAACAGCCGGTACAAGAGGAAGGACACTCTCCAAAACTTCATATTGACCTTCTTCTCACATATCAAAGGTCCCAAAAACTCAGAAAATGAGCCACCTACAACACAACCCGAAAGCATACATCCTCTTCTCCTTACGACGCGGCTGACGTTCTAGAGATAGCGAAGCAATGTGATCCATAAGGTATCCATTCAAGACCGCCAAGCACAAATCATGATTTCTGAATAGGTGTCAAGCTTTTGGAAATTTTCCTATAGTGGATATGTATGTAGATGGGAATGGGGAATTTTGGTCATTTAAGATTAACGCGCGGCGAACGTGCACGTATTGTGGGGATCTTTGCGTGTAAGGACGCGCCAGCGAGATGGAGGTTGCTTGGAGATAATTGATAAGCTATTGACATTTCACGATTTCAAGATGTGAAGTTTTACTTTTTGATTTTGAAGAAAAGTTGGTTATGGTCCGATCTCTACCTGTTCAAGATTTATGTAATCGGATAAACATCTGAAGGAGCCAGAAATGAATGTTAAAAGATAGGGGTTCGTTGAAGAAACAATAAAAGAAATATGAGGTAACGTGGTTTATCATCGGGTCGCCAATATCACCGGGTCGCCACTTTTTTCATTATTCAACCACTTCAATTTTGTATTATTCAACAATTATTTAATCAATTGATTGAAATTATTAAGGATTTAATAATTTAGGATTTATTATATTATTTTGATAAGTTCTTAAATTGTGATTAGTTTTTTTATATATATTATAATATCAATTAAAAGATACTTTTTTATTAAAATTCCCCCTCTTTTGATGCTCATTGTGTTGAATCTAAATATCAATTTTTTATTGAGATAATATATCAAAAGCTTTTTGTTTAGTAAGTATTCCTTCTTGATGTAATTGAATCTTTTTTGTATATCAATATTTACTTAATGTTTTATTTGTTTTTCGAAGTATATGATTTTTTGTATTTAGAAGTATATTTTTATGAGTTAATTTCTTTGTATCTTTAATTAAAACTAATATAATTTCGAATATAGGTGTAGAAGAACTTAATTGATATTAATCTATTCAAGATTTTATTAAAGTTGATTAAGAAAAAGCTTCAATTGGATTATAAAGGGTTTGAAAGATTCAAGGATTTGAATCGAAAGGGGGGGAAGTAGATGTATAAATTCGAATATCTAATTTAGAGAGTACAACTTCAGGATTAAATAGTATTAATCTAATTCCTTGAAATTTAGTTTTTATATTCTAAGATATAATTGATTATTGATATACAATTTTAAAAATTATAAAGAATTTAATTTTAGAGATATAATTGATATATATTTTAATAAATTCATTAATTTGATTATTATACAAGTGTTTTAGAATACTAAAATATTCAATATCGAATGATTAAATTAAATAATTAGAATATATTAGTAGCTTTATATATACTATATTATTTGCTTTATAATATAATTGAAAAGGTATTAATTAATTCATGACTTTTATATCTATTCAGCACTAACATTTGATATTTGCTTTTTCTTTGATAAATAGTATATTTATCAAAATACTTTAATTATTCTAATCCTATCTCATTATTTATCTATTTATTGGAAATAGATTTAATAGTTCAATTTATAGAAAAATCGATTTTAATGTATTAATTCGAAAAGTGAACTTATTCTTGAATTATTAGAAATGGAGGTATAGTTTTATTCTTTTTATTATTATATATAATTATTATAGTTTATTCTCAATTATTTAATTATATTATCTTGCTTTTGTTATTTCGTTTAATATTAGTTATAATCATATAAACAATTATAATTTTTATCATAAAGCCTATTTTATCGAAATTATAGAAATTATAGTTTTGAATATTATATTTTACTTGTATATTTAATACTATTTGAAATTGTTTTTTTAATAAATTTAGAATCTTTATAGAGAACTTTTTGAAAATGATAAATGTAATTAAAACATATTTTTAATTCTATATAACACTTTACAAATCAATGAGTTTAAAACTTTTTAATCTTCTTTATCCTTTGCGATTTAAGAATATAATTTGTTATATCTTTTACATTATTCAATTTAAATATAAACCTTTTATTATTTATATTAATTATATATTGAAAAAACACTTTTTTTTTAATTCAATTATTTTATATTTATTTATTTAAATTTCTATTTGATTATTTTGATTGTTGATTTTATTGCATAGTGTAAATCAAGGTATTGAATAAACTTTTATAGTTTTTATAATTATCAAATTTTTAGATTTTCGAATAGCTTTAATAATTAAGATAATTCGGGTTTCTTTTGATTATATTTCTATAATTATTTATTGAGATATTGTAAATTGAAATTGAAATGGTTGAATAATGAAAAAAGTGGTAACCCGGTGATATTAGCGATCCGATGATAAACCACGTTATCAGAAATTCCTTTTCAACCGACTCATGCAGTATTTATGAAGGCGACATTGACCCGTTTCCACGCAATTGGGTGCAGGGTATCAGCCTCAGTTTTACGCAGTCCTTGCCTCATCACGGTGATCAAAATGTATAGTTTTCTCCACAGCCACAGCAGCTTTCTCTGCGAATGCATTGTCTTCAAATACTATTTCCAAAATATCCAGTTATTGGTGCTCAATTGGATCGGCAAATTGATATACGAAGCCCACAAAACCAAAGAGAAAAACACTTACGAAAAGCAAGTTCTTTCAATGTGCGTCCCTGAGTCTCAGGATAAAAGAAGTAAACCACAATTATCTCAATGCAAATGGTCACACAATACATAATAAGATATTTCCAACCGATCTTGGCCATACCGATGGGATTTACATAGATGGTGGAGAAATTAGCGGCTCGGACGAAAAATTGTTCGATGGAGACGCCACGAGAACGGTCTGCGTAGGGGAAGAGTTCTACTAGGTAGGCTGTAGGGTTTTAGTATCGCTTGTGGGTTCGTATCTCGGCACTTGATAGGCTAGAGGATGGTACCTACTATATGCAAGTGCATTGTTCCCAATGTTATAACAAGGTGAGTAGAGAAATATGAAATACAGTGTGGTGATAGCAGCAGCTTTGTTGAGCCGATCGGTATCATATGCTAGCATGGCTCGTTGCATACTAATCGTCCATGCTATATACACGAAGAACATGCTACAGGCACAGAGTAAAAACATAGTGCGTCGTTTGTACCGTGGTACTATGAGGGCGGTTAAAGTTCCTGTGAGGAAAGACCAAGCTGTCGAACCGAGATTAATCACGGTTTTAGTGTTGGTATCCGTGTAACCTATCATGGCAAGGATCTTGGAAAGGTAGAATCTAGCATTGTTAAATTATGAGATGAGCGAATGATTAGGACACTCACGAAATCAAGGTATTGCCGGACCATTGTGTGAAGACTCCCATGGCAGAAGCGAGAAATACGCGGCGTCTCATTCCAGGAGTACTCAACATGGACATCCAAGATCGTTTAGAAGCTTCTAATTCTAGTTTGATTGTTGTTTCAATCTGAGTCATTTCAGCACGAACAAATACCGAATCACGATTTCCTTCTGCATGATACTTGACCAAGATATCGAATGCTTCGTCACGTCTATCTTTGCTAACAAGGTACCGAGGACTTTCCGGTAGGAAGCTTTGTTCTGTTGTTAGGGTTGTCTTGGCAAATTCAGGACATACTTACAAGACGAAGATGATCTGAGTAAGTGAGGGACAGGCTTGAAGAAGAGATGGTATTCTCCATCCCCAATCTGTATTGATGCTTGCAGTGCGAACAGTAATACCGGAGGCAACTAAAGATCCTACAAACCAAGATGCATTGAAGAGAGAAGTCATAACCGGCCTTTCTTTCGAATATGCTAATTCACCAAGCATGGCTGAGCCGGAGACAATTGCAGAAACAATACCAAATCCAAGAAACATTCTGGCAACGATGTACATCGCAGCTGTTTCAAAGTGACTGTGTACCAAATCAGAGGTGTTCAGATGGCCATACCGTTGATGGAGAAGCCCTGAAGAAATGACCCAAGGACCATTACAATAGACCCAAAGATTATGGACCATCTACGCCCAAAGCGTTGAGCAAGCATTGGTACAAACGGCACTGATAAGATGGCACCTAAGCTGTATGCCGCAGCTACAATACCTAAAAGCTCTGCCTTCAAAGAATACGTCGACATTCCAAGCCCATCAATCGTCGGCTCACCAAAGTCTGTATTTCATCATCAAGATTCCTCCGACCCAATAAATTTACTAAACGCTAAACTCATATTTATTCCAAGAAGGAATAAACTGCAATCCATTGATCATCTGAGAGTCGAATCCCGACGTCATCTCAATCCCCATACATGTTGGATATAGCAAAAGATACAAGATTCTTAGATATCTTTTTCTCCACCAAACCACCTTATCCTCATCAACAATCCTGGTGAGAACGGGATCTGCTTCATGACCTAAATTGACTAGACCCATGTTCAAACCCGTTTGCAAACCCGACCCCAAAAAATCTTCGAACTATTGAAGAATATTGACGCCCAAAGATATTATATTCCAGAACGTTCTTTGGGTTCGGCGTTGAAGTGAATTGAGGAAGGTGGTATGATATTCAATAGCTAGATGCGGAGGAAACTAAACGAAAGTTGAATGCGTCCGATCGTGCAGATATAGCTTTCAAATATCCACTTGAACGATTCCAGGGGGGGTTCAACCCCGCGCTGACTGCACACTTAGCGCCTTGGTCGGCATCTTCCTATTGTACAAAAGATGTAGCCAAGACGGTGTCAGGACCAAAAATCTCCAAGTCACTGGATAAATAGGTTCGTGGGGGTCATGCGACCGTTATTTGGAATTTATAGAATGCATTCTACAAAAAAGTTGATATTATGTGCAGGTAAAGCGGATTTTAGGAGACTTTTCCACAATCAGAATTGTATTTCTTGTCTCCTTCCATATTCAAGAAGAAAGCCGGAGTTCCTGCAGCGAATTTATGCGCCGTGGAGAGCTAATGCATGTCAATTTGGGGGTGGAGATCTTCTAGAAGCTGGGTTTCCTTCCGTTTCACTGCATATGTATACACGGAATTGAAGAAAATGTAGGGTTCGATTCAAGAAAGATGACTCTTTCTCCGAGACTCCAGCTGCAAATTACCGGGCCATGTCATCGTGAAAACAAGTATGTACAATGGCAGGCATGCTCATGTCTTTCGAAATGATTCAAAAGTGACACCCATCGTGTTTCGGCGGGTCCCGATTCTCTTTCCAAGGTCCCAGGCATAATTGCAGATTCCACAGAATTTGACAGCATCCAGAACCTTTCCCAAGTTCTCCCGAGTAGAATTTGGATCGCTAGGCTAGTAAGGTATGGATCGCAGTAATTGACCTGCTTGTTACACTAGTCCACAAAATGCAACGCATCTCAATTCAATTCTTCAAATTTGATTTTCTACGTACTTGAATTCCAGTAATCTCGAAGCCCCAGAATGCCTGTCTCAATGACCTCGCTTCACAAAGAAATGGGTAGAATCTATGCAAAATTTGGTACGTTGTGCTGGGTGTGCGACTCTTGAACCCCAAGTTCTGCATCTGTCAAAATCTGTTCGGTCTACGAAACTGCAGAAATGCAAGTAGCATAGCATGATTTCCAGTCTATTCTGTAATTGTGGCGATCTTCGTGATTGAGAAATATCATCTGAGGTGCAGTGATGTCCACATTAGTCGAATGGGTCATGCCAAAAGTAAGCTCATACCTTTTCAAGATGATGTTCCGTGAAAAGAAGCAAATATAGAGTGCGATAGGATTGGCGTAGTTGATTTGTATATTGTCTAGTGATGCTGGCTTCATTCTCTGCTGAAATCTTTTGCAAGATAGAACGTACAGAAGCGATTATTCGTTGGCTATGCAAGACAATTAGTCGCTGTCCTTCGGGCTCACATACAAATTCCCATATGTATATTTGAATCTCTGAAAGCAAATTTGAGAAACTAGCGGAATCTGTTTCATCAGAAGCCTCCGTGGTAGACTCTCCATATGCCTAGCTAGCTGTATCGAACTCTAGCATTGGTACGTAACGTAGAATATAATAAGTACGCCTTGATAGCACCAGATATAGTATACAAAGGTTTGTAGTCAAGACCTCTCGTGGATGAGATGAGCTTGAGTCTCGCCCCCGTTGACCTTTTACAACAACCTCACCTTGTCAATGTCTCTGCGCTTGCTTCAACCGTATCTTAATCAATAACCTACCCCAAAAATGTGCCATCTAGGGAGCGGTGGATCCCCACAGATTGTATTGGCGAAAGTTGTCTTGAGGTTCGTAGTCTGGAAATATATGAAAACATCTCTTGGAGCCCATCTTGTTGCGGATTGATCTCTTGAATACCAACTTCAATTTTCCCATATATGCTATTGTTTCGCGAGTGGTTGGAGACTTTGCAAGCTTCGCGAGGGATTCGTCGGAGTTGACTGCCCACAATGTCGTGTGGTTACCAAATACCTGATGCACTCACCTCTTCACCATGTTTGAGTGCTAAGATGTTTCATAGACTACGAGATCGAGTATACTAGTTGTTCCGCGGTCGAGAAAATCTGCAGATAGAAAAGCATTGTATCGTCGGCTCGGTTTGTTCGGGGGAGGGGGGCAACTCAGTTTGCTGTCCCAGGAACTTTCAATCAGGGGTATTGTGCAGTAAATAGATCAATCTGATGAGAGCCTCTTAATCGCGGTTACTCGAGTGATCTAGCGAGAAAAAAAAAGTTAAAGTCGTAAGGTGTTATTCGCATCTCAGTTTGATTGACTAGCTGGATACCGATTTTGGGGTCCATTAGCGTAGAGCTTGGAATGTCAACTGAAATGATTACGTAACATGGATTATTCCCGCAATTCCTCACGTTTTCCGAGGACTCCGCACCACCAAGCCCATGCAACTCGAGTGAGGACTAATCTCCATACGCTATCCAATTCTACTCATAGAATAAAGATTTCTTCGTGTGAGTCATCGTACACTTCTAAATCTACAGGTAATGTTGAATACAATGTGGTAGATTGTAATCCGCGAAAGCCAGCTTAGACCTGCTCCACGAGATGAACGCGTTGGTGATATATCTCAAATTGGTATCTGGCCATGGTAGATTCCAAGGTTCCAAGATTCTAAGAGTTTTAATTCGTTCATATGAGATATCTCAGTTCGAGAGGATCACGGCATAAGGCAGCTCTCAAGTGAGAGACCTATCAAGAAAGTATTGTCTGCCCAGAGATGTAAATCACGGCTGATAGTGAGGCTAAAGCTGAACATATAGCCTACAAGCCTCTTCTCAAGAATTTATCGTGTCTTTATAGCGGATGCTAATCTGATAATGTAGACTACGACCAATGTTGTGATTCAGTAGATTCAGCTGGACTTCGACTTGTCGGATCCGACCGGATAAAAGTCAAACTGTTCTCAAAACTTTGTACCAGCTCCTGCAGGTATATGAGACCCGCTTCACTGATATGTTTGGATCTATATAAGATCTGTTTCTTTCCGAATGTTTGAAGCTGTAGCTATTATATCATTCAAAAGAGGCAAAAAATACTTCGATGATAATGCTTATGGTGTTAGGATCAAGTCACGCCGATACTTTACATTCAATCACAGGTAGAGAATTCATTTGAAGACGGGTATTCAACCATCATTTATCATGAATTATTCCTCGCAGAAGTAAAACATAGGTAGTGAAAGTTCACCACCTTGTTGAGGAACAACCCCCGGACCAAGCCCCGAAGCCCCATTAACATACACGCAAGATAACAGAAAATGCAGATATCCTTCCCTGAATCCCCCAAGAGAAGAGCCACTTCAATGCCTAAGCATCTTCTGCAATGTTAGACCAAACTTCATCTCATATCTCATAACGCATAGTCTATTTTGGCGCATTTCCCTTCTCACGGGATTTTTCCACCCTAAATCTCCAGAATCTCAACCTTCATGTCACAAGGTTCGATCCAATCTTTTCCGCCCTGAACAAGACTTTCTCGATCACACCTTCTCACTCCAATCTCCATCAGCTGCCTCGCCACCAGAGAAAAAGAATAGAAATAAATCCCCGATCAGCGCACGGATAAAAAGGAAGACAAAAATTATACCAAATAGCCACGCCAAAGTCACAAAGACTTTACACAAGGTATTCCAAAGGCTCTCTTCTGGTTCGGACTTCGAGGGTGAATCGGGATGTGACTTGTCGGAATTTTGTGATATTTGACGATCGTTGGCACTCCCAGTATTGAGATATGGCTCGTCAACAGGCATAAACTCTTTGATATCATGAGTCAGGAAAGATGGGGCCAATGTAGCAATGCTTATTCCATATGGAGGAACATGCCCACCAATTCCACCATGGCCGCGACCTGGATTTCCTTTCTTGTCTGAAAGTAATTTACTCGAAGTCATCCATACAAGCCAGATAATGGAAGCTCCAAACAACATATACGCACTCAGAACTCTAGGCTTAACATTATGTAAAATTCCCCGGTAAATGGTTTTAAGAGACGTGCGAGACGAGGAGGTCGATCCGGAGCCAGAAACGCCAGAATGGTAACCAGAACTATTACTAAATGAACCTTTCTTGAAGGGGAATGGGAGGTCAATGGTACCGTTAATGGTTTGATACTCATAAAATTCGCTAGGAGCGCTGGATGCAACAACGTGACGAGAAGACCTAGTAGAGGAACGATGTCGCTTTGGGAGCAGTGGTGTGGATTGAGTTTTCTTTTGTATAGGACGTGGTGGAAATGATCCTGCGGATTTATGAGTAGCACTAGGTATTGAGGGTGCTGTGGAGATTTTTGGTGGTGTATACGTGGAAGAAGTGTACGACGCGTCAGACATGTGTACTGGACTTCGGACAGCAGGAGAAACGATTGGTCCAGAAACAAGTACGGGCGATTTCATTTGAGAAATAACACCTTTAATGATAACGGGCTCAGTCGGCGAAATAGCGGTAGTGGGCAAACTCTTTCCCTTCTTCGTAAGAGGACTACTCATGTTTGCTGTAATTGTTCTAGTCTTATTCTGTGGAGAAAGCGGAAGATTACGATCGGGAATCGCGAATTGATTTGTATCCATTGCCTCAGCAATATTTTCCCTAATATTCGAACCTGAATCCGACGAAAAAATGCTGGGAGTATCTCCATAGCGTAAACTCACGTCACCAGCAAGGGCAAAAGCAACCGGACTCGTACGAAGCGTTGACGACGAAGCATGGAATCTGGTTGAACCAGGGCTACCTGGAATCTTCGAGAAGGAAGTTTTCCTGCTCATGTCTTTGCTTTTTTCATTACTCTTGCTAATTTTTCGAGCCCGTTTTGGAGTCTCAGGAGTCCTAGGAGTCCTACAAGCAGGATAATTGCTCTCAGATTTTACTGGCGAGATGAATGTAGGCGTACTAGTATTCATCTTGATATGGGGATGTGCACTAGCTGCGACACTTCTTGGTATTTTGGTGGATTTTCTGGAATTGCGGAAATCTTTGGAGTCTTCTATGGTGATTAGTCAGTCTACTGTGAAGTTTTTGCTGAGATATCTAGTATAGGAAAAGAAGGATGGAAGATGGAAGATGAAAGAGGGAAAGGCAGAACTGAAATTGAGTATACCTTTACTGAAAACCATTTTAATTGATTTAGTCGTATAGTTCTTGATTCTCTGTGGGTTTCAAGGACTGAATGTGAAGTGGAATGTAACGCGAAGTTAGATTAAAAGTCAACGTTTGTAGGAATTTATTGAGATGTTTCCGGATCAAATGATTGGAGCTGGAAAAGTAATCCTTATGTATCCAACCCAAAGACTTCAATACGGCGAACTGATACCGAAACGGTTGCTATTATTAATACGCGTACCTAGTAATTTCTAGAATATGAGAGTATCCGGCTAGGTGATGATGTCATGAGAGTGAATATCTATCTACTGTAGCAAGCGAGGCTGGTGAAGGGGCTATGAGAAATTGTCAGAGGTGATTTTGGTAAGTGAATTCACTAGTTTACAGAGAATCTGTATTTTTTCAATTCATAGATTAGAGCTGTTAGGGATAGATTCTACAATGATAGAGAATATCATCTGATACCGTGGATGTGAATTTCATATTTCGTCAAACTTCAGACAATATCCTCTATAATCTAGCCATTTCACCCTTCAGCGAAGCTCACGGTTCGGGACGCACGAAGAACGTTGCAAACTGTTCGATTAAGCTTCCAATTTCTCGAATAGTAAATTCTTCTCATAGTACATCTTATCCACCCTCTCTCGTCTCAAACTCATATTGAGACCAACTCAGATTCAAACAAATCATAATTAGCTAGCCACCACACAAAAAGCATACTAACAAAATCTGCCCTCATCATAAATTCCAGAGAATTTCCTATACCATGCTCGACTAGCATGACCGTAGTTATGAACAAGCATGAAATTCTTCATAATTAACCACAATACAGCATGAGGAAAATTTACTAGCTTTCTAGTTCTAACTTCTGAACCGTAACATCTCGATCTTTTGAAGCCTTCATCCAAGTACTGCCACTCAAATTGCTGCTCAGGGTGATTCATCAAACCGTATACATTCCAAAATCTATATACATGACCTTCTTCAATAGCGATTCGCAGCATATAATCTACCAAAAGACAGATTCCTTCACAAACCAAGAACAAGATTCGAGGAACTCATAGAGACACACTCATCATCAACCTATCAACCTTCCAAAATATAAATCGCCGCTCGGCAAGAAACTTAAAACTTTGATAGAGTCTATCCCAGGTTGGAACTCGGAAATCTCGTAGATGTTTCCCAAGAAAGATTCATTATCCCTTGAAAGTTCCGGAAATTCAACAACAGTAAGCATCTCCAGCGGCATTCATCCACAACTTTCCCCCTCTATTCCATATCCATTTTCAGACCACCTCGTCTCGTTCCCCCACTAACCTAACGAAAATATAGAGCCCCACTCAAAAAATGTCTCCAAAACCCGAATCCATCCCTTCACTCTACTCCCTCTCCGGCACATCTTCATTTACCAGCATGATCTCCACCCCAACCAACAGATCCGCATCTCCCTCCCCCTCCCTAACCACCACCACCCCAACCCCCTCAGAATTCATCTTCCCCATCCCCTTTAGCGGCGACCCATCCGAAACTTCTCCTCTCCTCGCAAACCGCCCCAGATTATGCAGAATCTGCAACTGCAGACATCCCAACCACATACACGGAACCGCCTCAAGCCCACAACCCCCTTCTATGCAATTCCGCTATTGTTCCATCCAGCGCTCTTCACTCTTCAATATCCAAATTATCTCTGGCGTTCTATTCATTTTCTGTCTCGCTATCATCGTGCTATCTCCCTTTTCAAGCCGCGCCGAGAACGATACTTCAACTCTACAACAAGATCTCAAATCATCAGATGATCATTCTCCCCTCGCATACCTTCACGGCCTTAATAATCTCACTAACATTAACTCCTCCATTCAAGCACGAACGCGAACACACAAACTCGATACCCCCCAACTCAAAGGTATTGAATTCGCAATCGTTTGTTTCACAATCTTTACCATATGTTCTCTCATCCGAGCAGTAAGTTACGTAATGAGTAGATGGGGATTATGTTTTGGAGGAGAGGGATCAGATGGTAATGGGGGGATATTTGAAGAAGAAGAGATGATGGGGTATGGACACAGAAGAGAATCAATGCATGAGAATATTGTTTAAGCGAGTGGATGATAGTACGAGAGAAACTGATGGTAATGGGAGGTTTGCGGATAATTAGAGGAGAGCTCTACTATAATAGAACTCCTCCTTCCATAGCTAGCTTTCATTAAATCAATCTAGTTCAGCTTCTGAATGTCTTCAATTCCTAGCTTGTGCTTCCCACCATATCTTATAGAAAATCGTACTGGAAACATTATCATTAATTTCAGCTTATTAAGCGGAAGTAACCGAAGGGTCTGAACAGAAGCTCGAGGGCAGCTCATCAATGATCAAACATCTTGTTTGAAAAGTTACAAGACAGCGCAGTATCAAAAATCAAAATCACCAAACAAATTTAGATAAATAAATCATACCAGAATCAAAAAAAACAAGAAATTTATCTACCTATACCCACAAAGCTCAGTACTAACAGCCCGTCACATAAATCCTCACACAATCCAAACAAACAGAAAAATAACCCCAACCCAACCCAGTACCATACCCAGATTTTAGATTCCAAATTCCAACTCCTCTCCCTCCTCCGCGAAAAACAATGTAAATACAAAAAATCAGGAGCACCAGATATATCCTAAAAACCCCCCAAAAAGAATCACAATTACAATCGCAATCAACGATTAACTATGCCTACCTATCTACTTCACAACCCATCAGCCCACCCACCTACCTCCCAATCCTTTAACACAAACAAAAAAACAAACAAATAAACAAACCATAAAAACACAAGATGCCATAACACCTCTCAAGAGACCAGATCAACCATGACAATATCACTAATTCATCACCATCTCATCACAATTCCAACTAATTCTACGCTCAATACCCACCTACCTACCAACCTACCCATCAACCTATATTGAGATATCAAGATACAAATACAAGAGTGAGAAAAAATCGACAGTAATCCATATAATAATTCATATATATAATATGAAAAAGCGGAAGCTAGCGCCATGAAAAGGAGAGCTTCATGGAAAGGCGGACAGTCAATCAATTACCATCGAAGTGAATTAGAATCTATCCATCCATCCATTTATACATAGAATTTACTAGATGACCCAGCTACCTACCTCCAGCTACCTACCTCTAGTAAATACCTAGATAGTTTCTCTAGATAGTTTATCTAGTACCAGACTATCCAAGCACTCCTAGAATAAGAACGAGAATGAGAACGAGAGGAAAAATCAACCTTCTTCCTTCATCCTTCTTCATACTTCCTTTCTACTCCTCCCTCCATCCCTCGCTTCTCAAAACAACAACAAACAATCTATCACCATCATCATCATCATCATCATCATCAAAAACATCAAAGAACCTTGTTTCACATACATCACTTCAATTAAAATACTCAATAGTCAATTGATCAACCATTTAACTATTAAATCTTCACCCCACCCCACCTCATCTCATCTTCCCCCCCCACCCTCACCCTCCTCCCCGAAAAAGCCACTTAACCCCAACATATCCCCCGGCAAATACTCCAACCAAGGCATCATATCCTCTCCCAAACCCCTCATATCAATATCCTGACTCTCCATCATCATATCTCCCATCCCATTGTTTCCCATGCCCATGCCCATGTAACCGTGTGAATTTGTATGTGTGTGGTTTCCCGCATGATATGAATTTCCCTGTCCATTACCCGATCCGTTTGCGTGTCCATTGACGGAGTGTATATTATTACCGTGTAGATTACTTGCGTTATTATTATTGTGATTATGATTGTTGTGATTATAGAATCCTCCCGCTCTAGATGTCGATGGTGTATGCGAAAAATCATATCCACCTCCTCCACCAGGTGTACTCGAACTTCCTGGTCTTGGACTCATGGTGTTTCTTAGTCCTGGATCAAAAGTATGGTTTTCACTCCTCGGTGTCGGATATGGACTGCCACTCCCATTACCTCCACCTCCCAGCCCCAATAACATTTCCGCATCCGCCGTTGCACTAGCATCAATATTTGAGTTCGTACCATGCATAAATTTTGGTCCTGGAGGAGGCATATGATTACTCCTCGATGCCCCTATAAATCTATCAAACCTTCCACTAGTCGATGTACCACCCGCTGTATTTTCCGGTAAACTTTGTCTAATAGGATCATAAATCATATTTCCTTGTCCATATTCTTTCTGAGCTCTCATCTCTAAATGATCCGCCGCACTTTGATTTTGATACATGAATGTCAAATTGGAACTTGGAGAATTAGTAGTTCCAGTCAAAGACCAACCAATAGCTTGAGCCAAATCTATTGCCGGCGATCCAGGAAGTGCTTCCAACATTGGTGAACGTACAAATTCCGGAAATCTACCAGGAGAATTTGCAGAGAATTTTCGTCTCCAACTAGGTATAATTTCATGTCTTGATTTAGTAGCTTCGGTATATTCTTCCGCTGTATATGTTTCGACTTCCTGTGGATCTATTCCACTTTGTTTCTGTTCCATAGCTACTCGAATATATCGTGTTCCAGCCCAATAAGATTCTATATGTTGTAAAGCTTTGTGACATCGTTGATAGTTTTGATTCGCTGCTGCTGCAAGCAATGAATGTTTTTGTTTCTGATTCCCTTGATTATTGTGATTTCCACCTGGTTTCACAGTATCCGATGGAGGGCTTTGACGAGGACTGGGGTTTCTAGAAGATGGTTGAGAAGTATGTAACGCAATCTCTTTAAGAAAAGCACACCCAGCAATGTATATCGGCTGACATGTGAATGGGTTTCCAATAAATGATCTCGGATCAATAAGTTCAGCAAAAGCCAAGATGTCCGCAATAGTTTTAGCAGATGACATGCTGAGTTCTCGACTATGAGGAAGTAATTGTAGAACTTGACCTTCGAGAGATTGCATTAAAGTAGGTTGGTGAAGTAACATGATCAAGGTATGAAACCAAAAATGAACCTTGATATTGATTAGTAAAATTAATTCTCATGCTTCGAGAGGAAAGGTAAACTCACAAGTATAAAATTTGTTCCCTCCCCACTCTTGACATAATGTTGAAAGTTGGTCGCTGAAAATTCTAATCTCCCATCCAAACTCTGATACAACACAGTCAAATCCTTTTCCATACCCTTCAGTTGTTTTATCAACCCGGGCGTGATATCGTCTGCACCTCTTATTCTATTCAACAAATCTGAAACTAGACCATATAAATGTATGATTCTGATAAGTGCAGGGAAAGGATCTGGCCATGCTTCTTCTGTATTATTGGATACGGACGGAAGTGTCAATTCGAGATCTTCATCTTTGAGACTCACTGGTCTACCAGTTCCAGAAGAAATAACTCGATCAAGCATAAGGACTGCCCAGAGTGTATCGATTCTTTCCTCTTCAATTGCACTTTTCTCTTCCGCCGTAATAGTCGCATCCGGTTCATCTGATTCTCCTTCATTTGCCGACCTATGATATCCTGGATCCTTCTGCCCTTGATGTTTAACACCATCCAACTTTTGAAGCCCAAGATCCACAGCCATCCGTATAGCACATCCAAGATACATCCATAAGGCACTATCTTGATTCGCACCAAATCCCTCATAAGCAAGTAATAAACAAGCCTGTACAGCTCCAACTGTGGGACAAGGAAATGTATCCACAACAGCCGCTTTAGCTCGCTGAGCAAAGACTTGTCCATATTCTGATTTCGGTTGTGGTGAATCATGTGAAGTGGTAAGAAGAGGGTGATCCGAAAATCGAGCCGCTAATGCACAAACTGCATCTACAAGAATAGGTTCGATTTTCTTTTCTTCCACTAGACGTTTAAAATTTTCCTGACGTTTCGATAGAAAAGGGTAATTACAACCCAAATGAGCAAAAAAGACCTCCACGAGATGAATGATAAGTCTATTGACTGGTAATGGATCATTAGGATCATAGAGTGGCATATCGATTGCAGACCTTGGTTCAGTCCCCGCTTGAGATGGCGTTCCATTCACAGAACCCCCACTAGAGTGTTTCGCGGATATAGGCGACATTGTGAGAGAAGAAGACGATGGAGCACCCATACTCCTTCTATGTTCTCGAACAGAAACTACCATCTGTTTGAACCCGGGTACAATCGCTGTTGGACCAAAATATCTGAAATATGGCACTCGATGGCTCTCACTGATGGTTGTTTCACTGAGAAGTGGTTGATCTCTTTCGAAAGGATTGGGACTCTCGTCCGGAAATAGAACTGCATCTCTATAATCAACCCTTCGATTTCCAGGTCGATTATTCCCCATATCCTCACTTCCCAACCGTCGAGACGCATCGTGCATATATGACTGATCAACCTCGACTCTTGTCCGTGCAGCAGTGGTATTCGCTCTTTGTTGAAATTGTTGCGGAACCGCATCCCTCGAGTTCTCTTTCAACATTCCAGGCCTCCGCGGATGTGAATTTGAATAGTCCCCCTCATCTCCTTCCCCACCATCTGGGGTTTTGACCTCCTTCCTTGTCGAGTTTGTAACTCCATCAGATCCCTCTGCATACCCCATACATTCATGGCCATTATCCGTACATGTCGAACAGAGTGGTCGTTTCCCATCGCATCTCGTTTTCCGTTTCCTGCAGGTCCGACATCTACATGCCTCATTGAAAATTAGCTATACTCTCGGTGAATCACAACTCGTTTTGCGATTGCTCCAAAAAGTATACATACGCAGCATTAACCCTCCGCCTCTTCGCAGGTGGTTGTCCCTCATTATTCACGAAGCGGATCTGTTTCTGCGGTACTCCTCCTGCTCCGGCTCCTACTCCACCTCCAGCGCTCATATCTTCTCTGCAGCTCTGAAACCCTCTATTCCGTAAACCCTCTCGGCAATCTTCCTATATCCCTTTGGAAACTCTGCTTCACTTCGCGCAAACCTCAGACACAATCAAACCCGAATCCCCACTCACATCATATGTCGTTTCTATCTTTCGTTTGTTAAGCTCGTTTGATTTGTCTCATCCAACCTGGTATCGTATTGCCTTTCCCGGGTTCCTTCTCTCGATTCGTACCTTTGGGTTTCGTCCCTTCCGGTCGTCACTTTCGATCTAGTGTTTTGTACTCGGTGTCTCTGTTCCCTTTCCTTTTTTCTCTCCTGTCTTTGCCTCTTCGCCTTAAGCCCAATCTATCATGCACTGCACTGCACCCTCGCAGAAACAATCACCCCACTACAAAATGAATCGTGAGATTGGGTATCAAATAAGAAATGAAATTTCATAAAACCCAATGAGCGCCAACCGTTGAACACCAGATGCAAGATGAAGCAAAATTCCGTTTCTAGAACGATAATTTCCGTCTTACAGTAATAGATACCTAGTACAGAAAAATACAGGGTGTCCAAGTGCCGATCCCGGGGAAAAGCTAGGGTCAAGTACGCGCTTACGGATAGAGGCGGATCAGCGTCGATAGCCTGTATTGGCAGATGTTTTATTTATTTCTATAGGACAAGAAGGACATGCATATACTGGTGATGTAGAGTTTGCAGATATATTTGTATATATTCGAGTATATTAAGATACTTCCTTTTAAAATCAACTGAAAATCTACGAATATTTTGTTTCTCGTTAAGCAGTCATCATCCATCAACCCATCCTTTCGTTTTTACTCCACCACCATTTCACCATTCTATCCATATTTCCATCATCCATCCGTCAAATATCACCATCGAATACACAATCCAAACGAGACAATGGTTTAAAAACCAGCGATCTGCCATACTAACAAATAGCATGAGTCTTTCCAGTCTTTCCTTGCAAACTATGCTTCTCATTCTTATAATGAGCATGGTTATGCTTGCTCTTTCCAGAGTGAGTAGCATGCGCATTAATGTATTCTTGATTCTTCTTGACAGTATCTTTATCCATCTCATCCAAGACACTGCAGCATAACTTGATATCACTCAATAATGAATCACATCTTGATTTACTGAAATCCTCACGTACGACTACACGTAACATCTTGAGTTTATCAGTCTTAGGAGCCATGGTGTATGCTGGAACAACCCATCCACGTTGACGGAGTTGATGAGCGATTGCGAATTCATCGTAATGTTTGTTGGAGCTTGGGTCCATACGGAAAGCGACGAGTGGGAGGCCTTTACCATTCTTTTGAGACATGATAAGGAATCCGAGTTGTTCAAGAGAATCGGAGAGATAATCGGCGGTTCTTGTCAAGTTGCTCATGATAGCCTTGTAGCCCTTCTTACCAAGACGAATGAGTTGGTAATATTGAGCGATAACTTGAGAAGCACCCTTGGAGAAGTTAAGTGTGAAAGAAGCTTGATCGGCACCAAGGTAATTGATGTTAAAGACAAGCTCCTTGGGAAGATACTCTGGTGCTCTCCAGACAATCCAGCCAACACCAGGGTAAACGAGTCCATATCTAGAATTTTGTTAGTCGTGGTCTAGGTAAGAGGGGATGAAGAACATACTTGTGTCCACTGGTGTTAATAGAAACGACCTTTTCTAATCTGAAATCCCACTCCAAATCTGGTACGGTGAATGGAGCTACAAATCCACCTGAAGCTGCATCAATATGAATAACAGTATCGATGTTTCTCTCGATCAAAAGATCGTTAACAGCCTTGGCATCTTCATACTCTCCAGTATAAGTCGTGCCGAGAATAATGCAGATACCGATGGTATTCTCATCCACCAAATTGACTGTCTCCTCAGGATCAATTACATATCGATCCGGAGTACAGTAAACATATTTTTCCTCAACCTCGAAATATCGAGCTGCCTTCTCCCAGCAGACTTGAACAGCAGAAGACATAACGATATTTGGGTTATCGGTTGACTTTCCAGCAGCGATACGAGCATTCTTCCAACGTTTCTTCATGGCCAAAACTGCCAACATGATGGCCTCGGAAGAACCGACGGTCGAGGTACCAACCGCAGCATCGCCCTCTTCATTTGTAGGAGCGTTGAACAAACGACCGATCATGGAAACACATCGGTTTTGAATGTCTGCGGATTGAGGATATTCTTCGTAATCTACCAGGAGAGTCAGCGTGAGTTGGAGTGAAGAAGGTATGGAAAGCGGGATGGCAGGATGAGAAGAAAGTGGACTTACCAATGAAATTCTTGCTGAAACTCTCAGTCATGAGGTCTTCGACTTCTTTTTCCTACAAACTATTAGCATTGAACAAGATGATTCATAGCCCCCTTCGATTCAATCGCACTCAGCATGATTGGTGCGCATTATCATTGACCCCAACATCTTTAAAGACTCCAACGATCGAGGACGCATATGTTAATCAAGGAAATTGTTCGACAAACTCACCATGAATGTAGTAACAAAAGAGGCCAAATTCAACATAGGATTTCCATCGAGTGAAAGATGATCTTTAATCATACGATACGCAACCTATTCATCCGCCACATAAAATTAGTCTTTCTGCTCCAACTCCAAATTCCCATTTAGATGCCAATTCTATCTCAAATCACATACCTCTTTGGGCATCTCTCCATCCGGCATCTCATGCTCTGGCAGATCCTCTGCAGCAAATCTAGAACCATAAACACTAGTTGTGAATCGATCCTCCTCGCTCGACGCCGCCATTGTAAGTTTCTTCAACCCTTCGACGAGGGGAGCAGCGACCTTATCATCGCTAGGGATTTGAGAAAGGTGAACCATTGCTGCGGTTGTTGTTTATGTGGTAATTAGGATTGAGTTGAATGGAGATTAGAAAGTTATTGATGGCTGAGATTATTTATTGTTGATCGAGTTAGAAAACTAAGAAGATGTTGATGGTTTGAGGTGGGATTTGAGGAGAGTGGAAAGAAGAGAAGAGAACGGAAAAGAGCAAGAAGTCAATAAATCTTGTATTCATATATTTATTTACTACCTCCCTATCCTTGATCAAACCGTGAATATCAGTATTCGTATCTCTTCTAGACTTTAGTGGGATTATGCCGATTTCCTTCGTGATTTCCATCATTCCCATAAACTTACGAGGACTCTGCCCCTCCTTTCAAGGATGTAAGCTCCAGCTGTTTTTGGATCTTTTGGTAAACCTTGGCAGAAAAGCTTAGTTTATTTATCATATATGGAAATTGATTGAAATGATTGGTTGAAAGAGATTGATATATTAATTATCCGATTAAACCATTGTTTTGAGATTGTGGATTGAATTTTATATCTGCGTCATCTTTTTAACCATTTTATCCTACCGTCTGTTCTTCCCACATATATTCTTCCGCATATATTCCTCTCTACCTACAAAGTATCTGTTGGTTCAAGCATCTATCTATCCCCTGCCAAGAATACCTAGTAGATATCTAATGATTGTATGCATTTGGAGAAGATGACCAGAGATAGTACAACACATGGCACTTTTCCAACTTACATACTTGGTCCGTACTTGGATGGAAACCTCTCGACTGGTATTGGGACGACTCAGAGGCAAAGGCGGGAAAGGAGGGGTTTCAGGACCGAGAGACAATTGGATACATAACGATGTAGACCAGTATGTACCCCCGCAATAACCACACGTTCGTACATCACAGCCACAAAAATGAAATCTGATTCGATCAATATGCGGTGAGATATCGATGCTGGACGGACATATTGTAATACGTCTATCATGCATATGCAGTATCATCGTTGAGCTAGAGATCAAGTATAGATGCAATTCGGTAGTATCACGGCTTGTTCGTTAGAGTTCCAAATGTTTGGTGTCTAACATACGACAATTCTTGTTGAGCCTGGCCACAACAATATCTAGGTAGGTATAGGAATTCATGATATTAATTGGTAAATCTCTGAATCTAGTGAATAGAAACATTTTACTGTTCAAATCCTCGAAGTTAGAGGCCACTTGATAGAGTATCGAGAATGAGGTACAACAGCCATTCGCTTGTCAATGTCAAATGAAGGGTGAAACCTCTTCAAATCCTTCGTTTTTGAATTTAAATCGTCTATTCCTCTTTTTCCCTCTCAAAAGCTGTATATTCCAGGAGGTAAACATTAGAAGTTATGGTTTTGCCAAATTCATATCACAATTTTTTGTCAATCGGTGGATATCAATATCTCAGTAAGAGCTTCCACCATGACCCTTCACTTTGATGCTCAATCTCAATCTCGGAATATTCATAAGCAATAACTACCTACACAATCCATATCATCAATTCATCACAACTTGTCAATCCAACCCTAAAAGTCATTCATGAGCTTAAGCTTGAATTCGAATTTGGAAAATGTCCAAAGAAAAATTAGCGAACATTTCTTGTGAGGTTAACGTCGCTAGATACACTTTAGTTGGGAAATTGACCTCCAAATTCACTATTCCACCCCAAACTCTCTATCCCTTCAAATCTCCTCGACTCAATACAATCCAAAAATATATAAAGATACTTCAACAAGTACCCCCTCACATTGCTCTCCTCTCCTCGTACTCAATTCCTACCCCCAACCCTCAACCCCCAGTCCCAGCTCTCTCCTCTCTACTTCCCCCTCCCCCCTCCAACACAACGCAACCATCCCCCTCTACGAAAAAAACCATCTCTTGTATCTCTTCTATCCTCTTCCCTTTTCACCTCTCACAATTCCCACTCATCATAACGATTAATCAACACATACTCCAAATCTCCAAAACACACGAACAGACCCATCATCATTATCATCTATACAGCAAATGGAATATATAGAGAAAACATATCACATGTTATATACTCCGTCCCCATACCCAAGGTCGAACCATACGAGGAGAGGAAGGGAAAGAAGAACAAAAGAGAGGTAAATACGATGGTAGAAAAGCACATAGTATCGTTGAGAATCTTGG